AGGGGTAGGCAGGGATTGCTTGCGACACACTACGGGGCCCCGCCACAGCCTGCAGCCCAAACAGACTGGTCCCTGTCCGTCGTGTGACCTGCTGCTGCCCCTCTCCGGCCGACTGCAGGCTGTGCTACCTGTTCTGCCGCTGCACCCGCTCGATCAGCGTGGTGCCCCCCGCCCAGTACGCACACCTGGCGGCCTTCCGGGGCAGGGTGCTGTGCAGGGGAGGTGCGCCTCGCTGCTGCACACCGGCTGCTGGGCCTGCTGCCCTGCGCCTGCCACGCCTGTGTCCTGACTGGCAGGCTGCTGCCAGCGCTTCCATCTGCTTCAAGGAGGCCGCTGTGCCCTCCAGCCCAGGGCGCTCCCCGCTGCTCCTCTCTTCCACCAATCCCCGCAGGCGACAGTGAGACAGGCTCCGTGTCCAGCGGCGGCTCCGGCACCGTCGAGTTCCTGCCCGTGCACTCCCAGCTGAACAAGGTGGGCTGGGCACGTGGGCTGGCCTTCTCGGGTGCCTCTATCAGTATGTTGCAGGCCAGCCGCTGGCAGGTTTCCCTTGCTCTCCAGCCAGCGGTGGGCGACTGGACTGCCCTCTGCCTGCCTGAATGCCTGCAGGTCATGTTTTACGTGTGAGCTGCATGCGCCCAGGTGGCAGCCACCCGGAGCGGCGGCGTGGAGCATAGGCTTCCGCCCTGCCGATCCACCTGCCAAGCACCAACAACAGTTTGCATCATCGTGCCAGAATCTCACATGCACCCGCTTTGCCAGTTTGAAATGGGTTGCTGTGGTTCAGTTACATACCAACCGAGTCGCATGCATTGAAATGAGTTGCAAGTTGGAAGTTGAGGGGCTTGTTTGTGCAGCCGCCCCGCATGTTGTCTTGTGGTTGTATAGCATCCATGCAATTGTGGAAACGCGAGCTGAAAGTGCACTGTGGCAGTGCATGTGGTCGCTCAGGGAAGAAACAAGCAGCTCTAGATGCCATGGAATTGGAAGGCTCCCCCCAATGTCCCCCTTCACCGTCGCAAGCGTGCTGCCCCTTCGCCGCCCGCCAGAGCTTTGTACAGTGCCCGTGGGCCGGCGCCTTGGCTGGGCAGCACCACAATCTCCCTGATGCGCCCGCCCTCCACCCGCACCCTCATCAGCTGCTCCTCCAGGTGCACCCGCCGCCCGCTGGGCTCCACGGGCGGTAGGCCCGGCAGCGAGAACTGTGCCCCCGTGTGGTGCCCTGACGCCCTCACCGCAACGAGCGCCCACCCATCTGAACAACAGGTGAGCAGCAGGAGCGGGCTTGGGTGCGGCAGGGGCGGCTAGGCTGGCACCGGCGTGAACTGTGCGGCGGGGCGCCTCACCCTTGTCTGCCTTGCCATCAGTGGCGGCACTCCATGTGAAATCGGGTAAGGCCGGCGCCACGCAGCTGCACATGAGCTCAATGAAATCCGCCTTGAAGTACGTGCGGCTTTCCCCCGCCTCGTGCCGCACCTCTTCCGTCATGCGGAACCCATCGTCCACCAGCTCCTCGTACACCTGCCGGGCAGCAGTCGCACACGGTGGAAAGGCAGTACATCCAGAGGCTGATGGCGACGGCAGAGGATTGCAGGGGTGCGGATAAACTTGCCTCTCGGGAGATAGGCCCAAAGAAGCGTTGAAGGGTGTCCCTGCGCTCCTCCAACCCAAAGTCAGGCAGCCATCCAGGCTTCCGCAGGCCCACTGCATTGAAATGCACAGATGCAGTAAGCGGTGCAGAGGCGGGTCGCCTTGCGGGGTGACCTGCTTCAGTTGTGTGCCTCGCCCAGTTGTTGAGTTGTCAAAGCATTAGAGAGGATCAAAGCAGCCACCTCGGGCTTGCTACTAACCCGCCTTGAAGAAAGCCCAGCTGTGAGCCTCCACCGAGCGGCGTCCTCGCGGAGAGGCGGCGGCCGTGCCCACGAGGCGGCGGGGCGGGCTGAACGGGCGCACGTCGCGGCGGCTCGGCACCGCAGACGCGAGTGGGTGCGCATGGGTCGCTGTGAGGCGCGCAGCGCTGCCCATGGGGCCACGAATAGGCCGCAACTGAGGGTGACTGGCCGGCTTCGCCCCCTTGCTGTAGCAAAACGTGTAATAGCAAGTATTGCGAGCATACAATCAATACGAGATGGAGGGTCGAGCTTTGGCTCCTACTTCGCTAGAGTCTGACGTCGCCGCCGCCTTGTCAGCAAGCTCCGAAGGCGCCGGCACAAGGGGGAAGGAGTCCCGGTCCCCGCCCGTCATCACACACCTCAGCCAGTGCAATGTGCTGGGCGTCTCGTGAAGGCACGCATCTGTGTGAAGAGATAAGGAGCAAAACATATCAGCCTGGCCTGCTGATATGCACTGTGCACTTGCTGCCCGGCATCTGCCCGCGCCGGGGCCGCCCTTTTCTGGCACGCCTACTGCCCCGGCCCTCACAGTTGCTTATGAAGGCGCAGGGTCCATGTTGTGGCGTCTGAGACCCGTGGGGCCCTCTCCTGTCGTGGCCTAAAAATGATTCTGAAGCGCCGAAAGGCGGCGGGGGGTTTCCGCAGGACAGCGTCGGCGGCGCAAAGTCTCTCCTGGTTCTTCTTTTTTCTCTTTCACTGCATCACACCGCTGCAGCCTTCTCAAATCGATAACTTGCCAACCATCGCGCCCTGCCAGATCGCCTCCAGCTCCTCCCATGGCGCTCCACCTCGGCATGGTGTTGGATCCGGAGGTTCACACCACTTGATCCATTTAACCAAACCGTTGCGCCATGACCTGAGAGTGGGAGAGTAGGCTAGACTCTCGCACAGCCGCCTGCGAATGTTGGCGCCGCGCTGAAGCAGCACAAGCGCACGCCCACAAATGACTCCAGCAGCTGTGCACAACCAGCCGTGGCTGGGGCTGCAGGCGGCGTCCCCTACCACCCACACCCATGGAGAGCAGGGGATTCTGGCAGCAGGAGGCCAGTGGGAACGCTTAGACCAACAACCAGCGCTGCCGGACTCGCAGATGCAGACGCGGGCAGCAGCATCGGACCCGCCAGCGGCAGCGCCTTTGGCACAGGCGGGGCAGCTAGAAGTGCGGCAGCAGCTGACACACACAGGTGGGAGCAGCCTGCGGTTGTTGCCGCCTGAGGCGCAGGGTGCAAGCCAAAACTCTGCATAGCAGTTGTGGCTGCGGGGGCGCCTTGCCTTGGTTTGCGGGCGGTGGCAGTGTAGGAGGCGGAGGCGCCGACAAGTCACCCACACGCCGCCGCCTGGTCGCCTGCCGCGCTTGCAGGACCTGCAGCGCCGCAGGCTGCACAGCAGCCCATGCAGTGTGCGGCGGCTGCTGTGGCGGCCAAGGATGTGCCGACAGACCAGGGCATGCCTCAGAAGACCCCAAACAGCATCCTGCTAGCGCCGCTGCCAGCGGCGGCGGCGGCATTGGCCGCGGCAGGCAGCGCGCCTGCGTCCGCCATCGCCTCGCCAGCCTCACCCGCCGTGGCTGACCAAGCCATGGACGAGGCATCCGCAGCCTACTCACGCGGCGACTATGCACGGGTGGTGCAGCTGTGCCAGGCGGTGAGTTGAGATGCCGGTTCTTTCTTCTTTGCCCTCCCCTCGCGTGCTCTTGGTGTGCGTCGCAGTGGCCAGCGACAGCAGCAGCATGCTGGCGCCGCTGCCTGCGCGCGCTCTGACCAGTGCCTGCCTCGGCTTTGACCTTATCCCCTGCAGCTGTATACGGCGGGGCAGTCGCGACGGACCGACCTGCTGCTGCTGCTGGGGGCGGCGCACTACCAGCTGGGGCAGTACGAGCAGTGTATTGCCTGCAACGACCAGTGCATCCTGCTGGACCCCACGCTGGCAGAGGTGTGTGTTGTGTGTGTGTTTGTGCGCATGCGCGCGCGGGGCTGGTGGTGGGCGGTGATCGCAAGCTGGCAGGTCTTCAAGCGGCCAGCGCCTGGCAGCCACCCTGCCCGCCTCCGCCCGCCCCTTGCCCCCATCCCCCTCCTCCCCGGCCCCCCTGTGCCCCCGCCAGGCCCACGCCAACCTGGCCAACGCGCTGCAGCAGCTGGGCTCCACCGACCTGGCCCTGCTGTACTACCAGAGCGCGCTGCGCCTGCGCCCCGCCTTCACAGACGCCATCAACAACATGGCGGCGGCGTACCTGCAGAAGGGCCTGGTGCTGCAGGTGGGGCCCCAGCCCTCGCCAGACGCTCTTGTTGCTGGTGGCCGCGTGTGCACACCCCGGCCGGCCGAACCCTAGCATCGTCCGTCGCCTCCCACGCCACCGGCATGGCCTGCCCACTCCCTCGTGCGCCTTGTGCCCACTCACCCATCCCACATCCTTCTTTCCACCTGCAGGCCATGGAGGCCTACAACGCAGCCCTGGCCATCGCCCCCGGCCTGGCCGAGGTGCGCGTCAGCCTGGGCGACCTGTGGCGCCTGCAGGGCGAGGCTGGGCGCGCCGCCGCGGCCGCCTGCTACACAGAGGCTCTGCGCGGGGAGCGGCGCTGCGCGGCGGCCTGGCGCGGCCTGGGCGACGTGCGGCGCGAGGCCGGGGACGCCACGCAGGCGGTGGCCTGCTACCAGGTGCGGCGGCTGGGCTGGGCTGGGCCGGGCTGGGCTGGCGTCCCTGCGGGGCGGGCAGGTGGCTGACCCGCCGCTTGGGGCGCTGCTGCGTCTGCGCCGCTGTGGCGCCTGAGAGGTGTGCAGGAGGATTGGGGTGGAGGGCTGGCTGGCTCCACCTTGCGCTCCCCAGCCCTCCTCATCGCCTGCTGCTTCTCTTGCCCGCCCGCAGGAGGCCCTCCGGCTGGAGCCGTCCTGCGCCGACGCACACACCGGGCTGGGCGTGGCGCTGCGCGAGCTGGGGCGGCGGGGCGAGGCGGAGGCGGCGTTCCACGCTGTGGTGGCGCTGCGCCCCGAGTGCGCGCTGGCGCTGGGCAACCTGGCGGGGATGTACTACGACCAGGTGCGGTACGGAGGTACTGCTGCATGTGGCCCCTTCCATGCAACACACGCCCACCTGCCTGCGCCGCCGCCTCTCCACCTGCTCGGTCTGGCAGTTGACCGAGCCTGTGCGGCCCTGCCTGCGCTCCCTGCCTGCCGCAGGGCAAGCTGGAGGAGGCGATTGGGGCGTACCGGCAGGCCATTGCCGCGCAGCCGCAGTTCCCGGAGGCCTATAACAACCTGGGCAACGCGCTGCGCGAGGCGGGGAGGAGCGAGGAGGCGATCGCCTGCTACACCATGTGCATACACCTGCAGATGGCGGCGGCGCAGGCGCCGCTGCTGGCCGCGGCGGCCGTGGCACGCGGCGGCGCGGCGCCGGGCGGCGGCGGTACCGGCGGTACCTCAGCCCAGCACGCGCAGCGCCTGTCTGTCACCTACAACAACCTGGCCAGCATCCTCAAGGCCACGGCGCGGCTGGCGGAGTGCATCCAGTGCTACGAGCACGTCATGTACCTGCAGCCGCGCTGCCCCGAGGCGTACGCCAACCTGGGGTCGGCCTACAAGGACTGCGGGCGGCACGACGAGGCGCTGGCCGCCTACCGCCACGCCCTGCAGCTGCGCCCCGACTTCCCCGACGCACACGCCAACTACGTGCACAGCCTGCAGTGCGTGTGCGAGTGGGGGGACAGGCCCGCGCTGTTCAAGAGGTGCGTGGGGGCGGGGGGTTGTGCGTGCCTGAGGTGTGGGAGGTGGCCTGCGCCAGGCCTGCGGGGCTAGGCCAGCCTTGCTTTTGAGCTGGAAGCGGCGTGGGGTGGGTATCCGGCAGCTCCTCACCCCTGCTGCCACCCCTGCCGCTGCTGCCTCCTGGCGCAGGCTGGAGGCGGATGTTCGGCGCGACATTGCTGCGGGGCGCCTGCCCTCGGTGCAGCCCTTCCACGCCATGGCCTACCCCTTCCCTGCTGACCTGGCGCTGGCCATAGGCCGGCAGTATGCGCAGTACTGCGTCACCGTGGCGCGGCGCCTGGGTGTGCCGCGCCTTGCGCACGCGCCGCCGCTCCCGCTGGCGCCGGGCCAGCGCCTGCGTGTGGGCTACGTGTCCTCCGACTTTGGCAACCACCCTCTGAGCCACCTGATGGGCGCGGTCTTCGGCATGCACGATCGCAGGCGCGTGCCCGGCAGCTGCCGGGCAGCCGCACCCGGCGCCACGCCACGCCACGCCTGCCACGCCCCGCTGCTGGCCCTGGCCTCTCTCCCCTGCCGTTGCTCACCCTCCCTACCCCGCCCTTGGCCGTCGCCTGCCGCAGCAAGATCGAGGTCTTCTGCTACGCGCTCACGCCGTCAGACGGCTCCGAGTGGCGGGCCCGCATCGAGGCCGAGGCGGAGCACTTTGTGGATGTGTCGGCGTGGGGCGCCGCCGACGTGGCGCGCCGCATCAGCGCAGACGGCGTCCAGGTGCGGCGGCGGCGCCGGTGGGGGCCTGGGGCAAGGGCAGCTGTGCATGTGGGGGCGCCGCTCAGGACGCCTGCCTCAGAGACGCCTCCTCTCTGCCTGCTGCCCGTCGCGGCTGCCCCTGCCCGTCGCACCCAACCCCCCCCCCCC